TATTCACATCAACTAACTCATCCTGGCGAATGCTCTAGCCTAGTGAGACAGGAAGTGTTAGCCTCCTTAAATCTGGGTTGGGAAACTTGTTACTATGTGATGTGCCATTCAGTTACCTGAATTCATCCAGGTAATTACAGAACGGGGACGCTCCAAGGTTTTCCGCATATGGTTTACTACAGAAAGGGTTCTTTACGATTAACTTTTTCAACGAACGTGCATGTTGTTAAAAGGTGGGTTGTGTGTGTGTGTGTGTGCGTGGTGGCGAGGGGGTTGTAGCCTAAACCAATTATGTGTGGTTCTCCTGAGGTGGGGGAAACGACCTTTGTGTATAATTAGTTCTCTTATTTAAAGCAAAGATTTTGAATAGAATAACTAATTAGCTGTCATAAAAGGCAAATTAAAGATTTTTGTGCCATCCCTTGGGGAACTGAAGGAGCCTGATTCCCAAGCTCGTTTCCGTCTAGTTCGCACACTCACGTACAAACACAGACACACTTTTTCCTCTCCTCATTAAGACTGTTTCTAGTTCCGTAGAAGGCTGACAGGAGAGCACTGTTGGCATACCTGCAGAGTGCACCTCTAACAAGCCATGAAATGCAGGTAGAAAACGACCGCCCTCAGCTAGTGTGGCTTCAATTTAAAGGCTTTTTACCTTCATTTATACCGAACATTGGTATTTATAGCGAGTTTTGTGATCCTAATGCAGCGGCTTCAAGGGGCCCGTATTGGGGCCGGAGCTGGAGGGGGAAATCACACCGCTAATTGATGGCTCCCATCAGTGGCGCTAGACCAATTAGCTTCCCTCTTTTTCCAGTTTTGATAAAGAAATAAGATGGTTGAATACCATCAGAGCTCTTATTCACATCCAAGTCATAAATTTAACTAACAAGCCCTTGCTCTCCTGCCCTCTCTCTTTCAGTCTTTCCTGAGTGCGCTCACATTTTTACCTAATTTTTTAACCGAGGAAATGCTAATTATATTGTATTCATAGCACCTTATGTGTAGACAGTCCAGAATCATTGAACAAATCTGAATCCAATAAATGAACAAGCGCATCACAGAGGGAAAGTGTGAGAATGAGCAGGTAGTTGTGGCAATTCAGAATTGAATTGAGAATGCAGTTTAAATGTAGTCCCTAGTAGGGCTGTGTGGTATATTAAGTTTGAACGAAATGGAATGAGGCAATACCGTAACCGTTTCGATACAGTAGTTTGATACGAGCATATCTGAAAAATAGCGGAGGACGTAGTGAGCTGCTGCAGTGAAAGTACATAGTACAATTTGTCCTAAACATGTTATAGACCATTTTGCAAGATTTAAACAACACTGGTCCAGAAACACGTCCTGTTTCAGTTTGTAACTGTTTTCTTTATTTCGCATGTAAAGAAAAAATCTTAAAGATGTTTGTTGTTTGTATATGTTCTGTTGGTTGTAATTTATCCCAGCTTTTATGTAGTGTTAAAAAACTGAAACAGGAAGAGCTTCTGGACCAGTTTTGTTTATCATCTTTCATCTTTCAAAATGGTCTATAGGCTATTAAGGGCTTCAAAATAACTGGTAAGATATAGTTAACAAGTGTTAAGCAGCTTGCCCTGTCAGATACTGTTGATGAGAATGCTGACTGATGGATAAATACTTGCTCTGTTTATGGCATTCGAGATGTGGCGCTTTCCTCAGTGCTTAACTTACATTTTACAGGTATATTATCCATCTGTAAACATTAGAAAGTCAAATAAATATGTCCATTTCACTGTCAGGAGAAGAGCCTTCTGCAAGTGAATCTCCGCTAAAACTCAAGCTTCCGCGAACAAGCGCTGCCACGCACTAAACAGACGGAGCACAATAGAATAGTAGTGCAATAATTATGATGAAAATATACATTTTGCTAAATCATTATTTGAGACAATAAATGTGTCATATGTGCCATTTTAAACCTACAAGTAGATTTTTATGAAAGTGACCATTATAATGGGGTAAATAAATGCAGGCTAATATCATTAGTTTGTGCTTTTGTTTTTATTTTCATTTTTAGTTTAGCCTTAAGTCAATTTAACCGATTAAAAACAAAAGCATTATTTTTTTTTTGATTGTAATGTTAGAAAGTAGTGTGATTTTAACCACCTTTGCACATAATATATTGCATAGCCTACATTATTCACTATATTTGTTTTCATATCCTTCAATATCAACACTGTTTGCAGGATATCATTGGGTAGGACGTGAAATAATTTTTTTTAATTAAAATAAATACAGATTTTCCTTCTCCAAATAGAAAAACGTAGAACGTACTGGGATATATATTGTATATTGCCATGTAACCAAAACATACAGAGATATAATTTTTTTCCCTTGCTCCTCAGAATCAACACTCACACGGGTTTCCAGATTGAGGATAAGCAACAGGAGTGAGGGCAATTGACAATGGAAGGAAAGGAGATAACCAACCCGATCTCACGGCAATTCGTACGAATTTTATGAGGTGGCTAATTCGTAACAATTCGTACGACCTCACTCGTACGATTTTTGCTAAATCGTACATATTTTACGAGTTGGCCAATTCGTATGAATTCGTACGAATGACTACCCCCTAAATCTACCCATCACGTGGGTTTAGACAAATCGTACGAATTTGTACGAGTGAGGTCACATAAATTAGTACGAATTAGCCACTTTTTAATCACTCCTACGAATTGGTCATGAGATAGCATTGGATATATACACTTGTAAGTTGATGAGTTGATTTATCCGTGTTTTAATTAGATGGACGCCGTCGCCGAGGCTCTTTAGGTCGGGTAGAATCTGTGATCTCTGACCTAGTTTGTTTGCTGGCTTCAATGGCTGTAATACACTGTTTTCCATCTGGCAACCCGAAATAATATTGGGTAAATTGTCAGTGGTCGAGTTCATACAGACCGAAACAAAAACAGACATTCCGACACGGAACACACATTTTAAAGTAAAATAAGTAAAAATTAAGTGTTTTTCAGTATGTGAACTTAAGTATGTGAATTTAATGTTTCCTAAATCTCTGCTAATATTGTGGTATTTTTATGCTTTAGTACAGTTACCAAGTTACATACAACATCTTTAAGTTTGTCAAGACAAAATTTGCATATTGGCTTCAAAATTACAAAACATTTAGCCTTGTCTGAAAGTTTGGAAAGATTCAGAAATTTGTCCAACCCTGCCATGTAAACCAAACCTGCCATGTTAAGTACAGTGCAAGGTTAGTCCAGTTAGGGGCGGATACCCCCCTCCCCCCCTCCTCCTATTAAAAAAAAACATGAATATGCTGATAGTTGAATGCAGGGTAACAGATAATGGAGTTCATGCCCACTGGCGTATATTTGTTGATCATAGAGCCATAACCAGACATTAAAGCTAGACATTAAACTAGAGCTGCTGCCTGTGACCTCTGCCATTAGGATACTCTTAACAGACATATACTGTACAATGCACTAACAATCAGCTAATCACAAGCTTCATTTCAACATGGCAAAACTGAGGAATATTAATTTAGAAGGGTAGTCCAATCAACAACACAATCATTTGTCATTTACGCTCATGCCTTTCCAAAACTTTTTGTAGAATGCAAAAGTTGTTGTTTATGCAGCGGAGGTAAAAGGGGACCAAAAGAACTTTAACTTAGTGCCCAATTGACTTTTTATGGTATGGCCAAAAATATATATTTTTCAAAATAACATCTTTTGTGTACCACAGAAGAAACAGTTCTACTGACTTGAAACGACAACATGAGTGAGTAGATGAGATCATTTTGACAGTTCCTTTAATTCCTACCACATTAAATTTAATAACACAAATTCTTTAAATACAGAGATTGTTTTTACGCATTTTCTGTACTGTAAAGCTGTAAAATGGTTAATACTTGAATCAAAAGCCCTCAGTGTCCAGATTGGTCTGTCTCCATATAGGATTGGGGGCTTTTAATGGTTTGACCGTCCAGGGCACAATACACCGAATGGTGACGGAGAAGGCCTGGAGGTAAAGGAGAGAGGAGAGGGGGGAGGGGGGTGTCAAAGAGGGCATCACACAGGGATTTCTGAGAGAAATGTGTTTTGAAAGCAGAGAGCAAAAGAGAGGTATAGAGAGAGGGAGAGTGCCGGTTTAGCTGCGTGTTCTATTAGACGGATCAATAGCTCAGTGTGGGAGAGAGTGTCTTAAGAGCTGTTGTCCTGCGCTTTCAGCTGTGGCAGACCTGTTAGTGCTGGCAGAGGGGTGCCGAGTGCCAGTGTTACCAGCTCTGGCCCGGGGGCGGCTTTTAGTCCGCACACAAATGTCAGACCGCAGATAGACTATTAGTGTTTAGTGCAGTTATTAAATGGACTTTATTTGTCCTTTAGGAGGCTAAAAGGCATGCTTAAAGGGGGAGGCTACATGACAGCACGGCGATTTAGCCTGTTTGGTTACTCTTCGCTGGTTGTGAGTGTAAAAGGAGATTGGGCTGTGGCGCGTGTGTGTGTGTGTGTGCGCGCGTGTTTGGAAGGCACTTAGGCCATACAGTATCTCATTGGAAGCTGAGAGCAGCCTTCTTGCGGTCAACAGTGCTCTAAAAGGTTAATGTTGATCTATACCAAACAAAGCCCATGGGAGGCTTTTAGCATGGCCACCGGTTCTCATACTGATGAAATAGGGCCATGGCTAATCTTCCAAACAACATAAATACCTCTGTCAGCTATCTAAATAGAGATGGTCCTGGGGCATTCCAACATAGAGATGCATTCAAGCCCCAATTAAACGGGTGTATGTCACTTGCCAAAAATAACATCTGTTCTTCTGAGCTGGGACAGTGATGGATGAATGCCGTCCAAAGTGACCCACGCGCCTATCTGCGCGAAAGAGCGTCCCTGGCTAATGCATATAAAACACCAGCCCGAGCTTCGGGGGTCTGTCGCCACCCTTATCATGAAACATGAAAAGTCACTGGTTTAGCAGGCAGTAAATCACAACACTCTGTGTTTGTCTCCCTATCGCCACAGGTGTGCCGATGCTCTCAGTCCAGCCCAAAGGAAAACAGAAGGGATGCGCCGGCTGCAACCGCAAGATTAAAGACCGCTACCTGCTCAAGGCCCTGGACAAATACTGGCACGAAGACTGCCTGAAATGTGCCTGCTGTGACTGCCGCCTGGGGGAAGTGGGCTCCACCCTCTACACCAAAGCCAATCTCATCCTCTGTCGCAGGGACTACCTAAGGTAAGAACACGCTCCACTCAAAGTTCTGCCAAAGCAGAAAGGGCTTGTTACACCTCAGGCTGCATGACATTCAGAAAAGTATACCCTCATCTAACAGACGATGATTGCCACCCTGCCCGTCTCATTCCTGGCCCTGTCTCTCTCTCTCTCTCTCCTGTTGCGTTTATCTGCTAACTTGTGGGGTTAGAGATAATATTTTTTGCTTGTAAATTGTTTTCTTTGAAGCTATTACAGAAGATTAAGTGCTTGTTCATTCTTCATCTGAGTGTACCGACCCAGACTCAGTGTGTTCCAATTAAATCCCAGTTGTGCAAGTGAGCAAATAGCTTGGAGTGGCATCTTGTAACGACTGTTTATGTTTAGCTGGGTGAAGTTTTGCATGTTTACATGAATGTGACGTGCCGCCCATTTTCTAAGTTAAATGATCAACTGCTGTCTATCAATGCATGTATGGACTTTCTGCTCACACCAGGCATACGAGTGGCAGAACCGCAGGTCTAAGGATCTGTTTTGCCTCCTATCTCGGAGCCATCTGCTTTCTAAATTAAACATGATTATTTCCTGGGCGTTAAATCCCAGTCCCTGGGGTCTCCCAACCAGATCTAGTCATTTATCCCCAAGCTGCTCTCCCCAAAGAGCTCCCACTGGTAAGGCCCTTCTTAGTAAGACATGCAGTTCAGCATTGTCGTCATTACCAGTGTTAAAGAGATAGTTATATAAAAAATAGTATAAAAATCATGTCATTTACACACCCTCATAACTTTTTTTCTGTAGAACAGAAAAGATATTTTGTCTTTTGCATTTCAAAGAAAAGTCAATAGGGTCAAAAAAAAATTCAAGTATGAAAAAAAAAATATCACTAACAATATTTTAATTTAAACGGAAAACATTTACAAATATTAGGCCTAATGTAGAATAAGGATTGAGCCACATGCAAATACATGCTTCGCTACCGAGTTCGTAACTCACCCAAACACAAAATATACATATGAGATTAATCAGATATGCACAAAATGTCATGAATGCACAAGTGAACATAACAATATAACGCACACATTCTGACTAGCAAGTAACTTGTATTGTTAACATGCACCAGAATGCACTAGAAAATTGGATTTCTGTAATGCACCAGAAAAATGTCAAAAACATTAACAATGTTGTACTGTACATATTATTATGCTGCTTCAGAAACTGCTTCAGAAAGATTTTGACATGATTTTGACAAATGTTGAAATATCCTTAAATGAATAGGCCTATACTGTATACAATCTTTGGATATTTGGAGTCACATTTCACTCTCGTCAAATAAAATATTATTTTTGACTACAATAAGATGGAAACTAAATGCAATAAAAGTGAAACCAAAAGCAGTGGTTTATTTTAGTGTATTTTGTCCAAAAACTATGAATAAAACAAAACAAAAAACTGTTTAAAAATTACCATTGGCCATTGCTCATTTTTCATATCCCGTCACAAATGTTATGATACTGTAAAGCCGCGTTTCCACCGCAGGAACTTTCCCCAGGAACTAGGAACTTTGGGGTGGTACTCGGTGTGTTTACACCGCAGGAACCAGGGTCTAAATGAAGTTTCGGGTAAAAATCCAGAAAGTCCCTGCTGGCGAGGTGGTACTTTTTCAGAGTTCAGGAACTTTCGGGGTGGGACTTGTGCGCTGAACAACGTTGATTGGTTCTTACCACGCTATTCTTTCTGGCCGACGGTGCGCGTTCGTCTCATCCATGTCACGGTCAATGTCCGCTGATAAAAACGTCTACTTTTATATCTAGCATTACAAGCTTTCTGAATACGCTTTGGGTGCTCTTCTCATTTCTGCCGTTTTGTTAATTACCTCGTTAAAACAATCGCACACAAAAGCAGCAAAGCTTGAATCTCCTCCATACAAAACTCAAAACAAACGTGCAGGCTAGGAAGAGCAGTCGCACGCAGTTAATCTTCCCGCCTCGGACCGGTACTTTAGTACGCGGTGTAAACGCAGTGAGCAAGCGGTCTGGGGAAAAAAAAGTTCCAGTGAAAAAAGTTCCTGGGACAAATAGTTCCTGGTAATTGCTGTGGAAACGCGGCTTAAGAGCAACCTTACAAAGTTCCCAATATGTAAACTGGAGCATGTAAGGTAATGATGAAATTAATAGTTAAAAAAAAAAAAAAATCGGAAAATAATACAAAAACGTTTGGCGATTACTTTTTGGTTTGGTGGAATAAAAGTAAGATAGAGGAGGGAGAAACAGCAAGAAAATAAACAGAGCAATTCCGATCGGTGCTCGGGCCCTAACAAGCTTCCCGTTGCCGCTATACCGGCTCTGATGTCCTAATGAAATCTAGCCCACTCGTCTGCTCTTCACCCTGTGACAAATGTGTGCTACTTAATGCCTGGAGATGCTGGATATGAATTCTATTAAGGAACAAATTAAGAAGTATCCCTCTCCTTGCAGACAGAGTGAGGCAGCATCGGTATGTTGGCTTTGAATGCGAGTGATTGAGAGTCCACACAGGGTGTCCCACCCACCTAAACTTCACCTCCAGCGCACTGCTAGAGAATCAGTCTGCTCGCATTCAATAATGAAGCTGAAATCTCACCCAGAAATAGCGTCCCATACAGGGAGGTACTTCATTAAAGACAGGCGGGTGGATCAAACGCATTTCTTTTATTTTCGGCTGGGTTTTTTGGAGCCCTGCCATGCGCACATTAATTATGAGCTGTGCTCCTTCTGCGTTTTGTCCTTCAGGAGTACTGTAGAGCCATAATGAACCCCCACCCCATGAAAACACACACAGCCCCACCACTGCACAAACTAGCTCAAGCTATTGCATTTGACCATCCTTACGCAGGAAGCAAGTAAACGGCGGATTTATAAGCTTTCAGGCCATACTCTTTCATTACTGTGCACAGAAATAGATTAATCTGTTTTGCTGGGCTCAACAATCTTTTGACCTCATGACCAGAGAGCATCACCCCAAGACCCCAAGAAATTATGTTTTATGTCTGAAACATTGCATTGCATTACGGGGGACACATCAGTCATTTACTAATCAAAGAATGGTGCTTTTAATTGAAATATAAAGCAGATTACACCCCATCCTAATGATGGCACAGCATGTGAGTATGATTAAAGGGCAGAGATGAGTCTCAGCAATCATTCAGTGCATTTTGATGTTAAAATAGTCTGCTGAGCAAGCACAGTTATTCCAATAAGGTAAAAAAAGAGACAGTCATATTGTTTGAGTGGAAACACAATCCCAATGTCAACTGTATCTCATTTTGAAGATTAACTACTACACCTAAAACACAATAGAGTGACCCCTGTCTGTAAAAGAAAAACTACAGTGGGGTCCAAAAGACTGAGATTAGTAGAAAATGCAGTTACTGTTTGTATTAGTATGATTTTTTATTATATAATATATAATAATAAGATATGCTGTAGAACAAACAGATAGGTAGAACAATTGAAGAGTTCAGATGCAAAAGCCTCTAAGTGCCATTTGAAATTTTCTTCTAGAATGATCATTTTTATCAAGCTTGTATATTTAAGTTCAGTGATTTCACTTAAATGGCAATGATGATTACATATTAATTGTTATTTAAGTGAAATTACTGAACTTAAATATACAAGTTTGATCAAAATCATCATTCAAGAAGAAAATTTCAAATGGCATTTAGAGGCTTTTGCATCTGAACTCTTCAATTAGAATATAAAAAACATTTGGTTTAGGTCCAGGCTTTATTTTTATTTTTTATTCTTTTAAAAGGGAAAATCTCATATTTTTATTGTGGAATCACTTTTGAACCCCACTGTATTCAGAACTTGTGCACATTCACATACAGTATTGAACCACCGCCTCTTTGAACGCAAGTAAAGCACTAGAACAGCTGAAGTCTAATCACAGAGAGACATTAAAGGGAAGGAAGCTGATGCCGGCTTCAGAGGAGTTATAAAGAAACACCAAAAGAGAAACACCTGTCTACACAGAGCCACAGGGAATCATAGAGAACAATGAGCAAAGGCTTTCAGCTTTAATACTAAAGTTTAGTTAAACACAAACAAGATTATAAAGGGGAAAACTCTGTTCTCCTTTCCTTTATTGTCTTAAGAACCCACCCTCCCCCTCATTTTCTTAAAGAAAAATTAAGATATCTAGTTTGCCAAGGCTATGCTTACATTTAAAGGAATACTACATTGAGTTGAGTGCTCAATCTTATCAACAGTATCTGTTATTGAATGGACTGCTTTGTTTTAAAGTTTGGTTGTAAATGGCAATTCATAAAGCAAACATTATGCACAATGGACATTTTAGGCCTAAGTTCTTGAGTACATTTCGCTTGGAATAACACATTAAATGGCCTTGCTGATAAAATGGTTTCACTTTATCTTGAATTATATTGCCTGAAAATCCAAGCCATTGTATTTCAAAGTTTGCTGGTGACCTTCCAAATGAGTTTCTGTAACCTCCTAATCCACTTAAATTAACCACCAGTAAAGTCTCCATTTTGAGCCGGGCCATCACAGTGCTGCGAAAACCTACAATTAAAACACCGCAGATTTCTTTGCAGAACCCTGGTTATCTGTCACTGTGTGTGTGTGTGTGTGTGTGTGTGTGTGTGAGGAGTCCCTTCTCTTTTAAGAAGACTGCTGTGCTCTTAAACCATCAAGAGGTCCCTGAATTTTCACAAGTCGCTAACAACCCTCTCAGACTGCCATCCCTGTGCTTTCTGTGACCTGATTTAGAAAAGAAGGGAAAATGGGTCTTGTGATGTGATCTGTAACACCCTCTACTGTGCAACATGATGGACGTGAGCCATAAGAAATTGTTTAGGTTCCCCAGGGACTCCAACCACCTTTTCAGTAGAAAGCCAGGATAACACAACATTGAACTCTCAACTCCAGTTGCTTGCTGCATTAAGGCATGACATTTGAAATGTGTTCGACCACAATCTTTGTGCTATTCCTTTTTAGACAACATGGCCCTTCAGACAGAGACTTTAATCCTTCTTTCTGCCTCTGAACATCTATGTGTCCACAAACGTTTGGAGTATGTGGCCCGCCAGCTGAGAACTTGCCAAGATCGAAGAATGACTGGTAGATCTCAGCCAACTACAACTGGCATTCTTACCATTAAGGGTTGTCCTGTCAAATGTTGTGGCAAATGATTTGGCATAGTCTCTTTAATATGCTGCCAAAGGCCCTCGTGAAAAGACAATTCTTGGACATGTACATCTTTGTCAAAACATTTTTACCAAGCATGAAATACTAATACATAGAGCTGTTGTGTAAAAATATAGAGTTTCCAATTAATCACAATTAATTTAATAATGAATCATCACCACAGAAAAATAAGATGAATTCACCTGAGATGAATGTGATGCAATTAATACAGCACAAAAACGGCAAGAAAAGTCTCATAAGCTGCACACAAAAACATACAAAATGACCAGCGTGTCATCCAATTCGTAGCCTGATTCACAAACAAATGACTCCGAGCAAGTTCTTTAACTGAATCAAAAACATACATCACGACCAGGGTTTGAAATTAACTTTTTCACGTACCGGCCAATTTTGCTACTAAATTAAATTACCAGCCATTCAGAACTTCTACTAGCCAAAAAGGAGAAAATAAATAAACCAGATTAACTATGTCACAGCTTATAATTTGTTTTCTAATTTTTTTAAATGAAATTTGAATTTCATACATTCATTTCTTTTTCAAACAAAACCCTGTCATCTAGCCATCTCCTCCCTTCCTCTTTCATCCTCATAACCAAAAATGTATTTTAGGTGGACAGATCAATACAGTACAAAGAACATCAAACATCACGCAGAAGAAAATAAACCTGTGTTCTCAGGATAAGCCAGGGTCAGCTAAAATTGTAGGATGTTGGAAAATAACATTGTCTTTTCTGTTAACCTAATGCCCTCAGAGCTCTCATCTTCAGCTGTATCAGTAATGAAGACCAAGCAGTTTTTCAGCTTGGTCTTTGCGTGTGAACTCTGGTCTGAGGGAAGTATTGTCACATTAGTATGTTTTTTTTTTAAGTCTTTGCTATTGCTTCGATGCAAATGAATATGTGTGCCGTTATTTGTTGCGTAGTGATGTTTGTTCAAGTAAGCCAGATATATGCAGATTCTGCGCAATACGCTGTATTTACAATAACATAATGACTCACGAGTTGAGTATTTGCGGTAAATCTGCGGAGTGGCTTACACGAACTTCCCCAGCAAAGTAACCCACTAATTTGGCTACTGAAAACGTTACCCGCCACAGTTGATTTTTACCCGCATTTGACAGGCTATTATAGTGTGATTCACAAACAAGTGACTCTTCTGAGCTGGTTCTTTAAATGAACAGTTCAAAAAGACACGTTCATAATTTGTGCACCAAAATGCACATTTTAATTGAAATATACGCCAACTGTGCATTCACACCGCTGCCGGCGAGAGCGTCAAAGTGGCTGGAAGTCATTAATTTTCAATGTGAGCTGGTGGCGAGCTCCAGTAAGGGCGGCGTGTCTTGGACTGCGAGAGCGGAGAAGTTGAAGTCAGGTCAGCTTTATGGTAATGAGCTATGACGTGGTTCAGCGGCAACCAATTGGAATGTAGAAGTGCTCCCCTTGAGACGATTCCAGAGAACACAGTCAAGTAAACTTTGGTTCTGACTACATTAGCCCCCTAGCAAAATAGAGAAGTTGATCATTTGAATTTGATAAGGTGCGCAACACTATTAATAGGCAAGATTTTTGCGCTAGAACGCTTGCTTTTCAGCAGGGATGCAAATTAGATTAGCACTTAACCACACCACACAAATGTCTTTTAATTGGTTTATTTCCTTACATGTCACTATACTAAAGTTCTTTCCATCGATCAATTTCTTACTTTCACATTTAAAAGATTGCATGAGGTTAACTTATACCCTACTTGGTCAGTCTGCATAAATAACGATCAACATGCTTGCTTGCTATGCGGCACCTTTAAATACAGTTTTAAAAAAGACCAAGCATTCAGCGGCAGTGTGAACGCACAGAAACAGATCAGAATCTAAATTAAATCAAGAGTTTGCGAATGAAAATCGAACCGAGACATTTGTATCGGATACCCAGCCTTACCATTAAAAAAATAATTTGGAATACACCAGTTTCTTATTACAATGATACATTAGAAATACAGATAACATGTAACTAAGCAATTATTTTTTTTAGCATCTTGTACATTAAATACACTTACTGTGATTTACAAATATAATTCTATATGTTATGTGTAACAGACACTAATGTAAAATGTAAAGTATAAAATGCGTATATGCAATTATTAGTTTCTGCGCTGACCTTGGAACAGAGCTGCAGTTGAACCATTATTTTAATAAGCTAAACTCTTTTGTGAGGCAACACCTCGCTGGGGTTGCACAGCCTCCTCAGAGTGTCAGAGTTCCACATAAACACATTTTACTGGAGCAGTAACCCGATATAACAATGCTCTTTTTAACACCTCGCCTATCTGATATAACAACATGCCCTCTCCCACCATAAGACTCCTCTCCGCTCGGGTCTGTTGCTCTAATTAACAGCAGGGTCCGCTGGATAGATGCTAGCGGTGACGCAGGCCAAGCAGTCGAGAGAGACTAATATGGACTCACAGCAACTTTGTTCTGTTTCCTTATCTTTTCAACCAAGTCCTTAACTTTAGAGGAGTGTTTAGCATACTGCCTCATCCTGATCCTGCTTTATTTTTCCCTTTTTCCTCTCCCTGTTCTTCTCCATTTGCTCTTCCTGTTCTGCAGAACATATATCTATATCTCTGAATCTCCAAATTAAACATTAGAGCAAAGGATTTGAAAATGTAAATCCACAACGGCGGATGTAGTGAAGGAAAGCGATTCCTTGTTCTGTTTGTGACCTTGGTGGTTTGCATCCCATCTAATAAGCTTAAACAAACAGTGGAGAAATGTGAGTTTTGTGTCACTTTCTGTGCTCCAGCGAGCATCTACTTGCCTCTCCAAGGTTACACACCACACCGACACTCTCTGCATCTCACTCTGTATTTAGCTGGTCACAGAGAAATAGGGAGAATGAGAGGAGGGGTACGGAGGATAGAAGCAGTATCCTTGTGAGGGGAATCTTTTGAACTTGACTATATTATAGTATTTAGCCTCTTGTGTAAAATCCAGCTGGCTTTGGTCTGAGCAAAGTCTCATTAGTTACTCTGGATTTAAAAGAGAGGGGAAAAAAAAAAACTTTGAGCAGTTCAATTGCTCGCCTCAGACCTGTTTTCATTGCTTTTGCAGTGTGCTAGGCAAAATCTCTTTGAAGAAGGGGATTAGAACCATGTGATCATTTTAATTAGATCATTAGCTAAGAATTAACATCTAGGTTTGTACCCTCATTAACAAAAAATACCTATGTGTGCCAAGCTGGATTCACGTATTGCATTAGATGTCCAATTTTTTTTTTTTTTTTCCCCTCCCACTTCTTTAGTTGTTTTCTTGCCTTTTTTGGTTTGTTGCATGATTTCGTAAAGGCTAAGAAAGGTATGAGTGAGTAAATCTGTTTTTTGTGCTTCCTCTCACAGGCTCTTTGGTACAACGGGGAACTGTGCAGCCTGCAGTAAACTGATCCCAGCCTTTGAAATGGTTATGAGGGCCAGAGATAATGTTTACCATTTGGACTGTTTTGCCTGTCAGCTTTGTAACCAGAGGTAAGGAGAAAAAGAGCCTGCAAGATTGTCTTTCTTTCTATCTAGAAATGCACTTATTAGCTGACACACTAGCATTGGGGCTTTACACATTCCGATTGGCCCTTACCCCGTTTTACTCTGCATTTTCATCTCAAACCTATGTTGTTTTTGTTTTTTTTGTTCTGGCTTATATTTGTGACCAGAACCAGGATTATAAGCTTGAGTTGAGTGAAATTAACCAGTGCTTCAGTGGAGATATCGTTAGCAGACCAATACCAAGCCTGATCAAACTGTGAACGCCTTATTGAACACAGTCAGCCAGAAAGCTCTTACTCAATACACAACCAAGCCGAGCACGTCACCACTATGTGTCTCGCCGAGGGAATTAAGCAGCCGGACGAATGAACTTTTTAAGGATCATCCTTCCAAACATTCCTGGGGAGCAAAGGAGTGTGACAGTGTCTTAAATGCTCTAGTGTGTGACCTACTTCTAAAAAAGACTTGTGTCATTCTCAAAAACCAACTGCATGCACGCTACAATAAATACAAACAAGCTCAAACTTCATTTCTGAACAGATGCTGCAAATACAATACTTTATTGTATAGTGTAACTGACTCTCTGGATCTAGATGTTGAATACATCCATAAAACAAACAAAAAAAGCATATGGTAGGAAAGAAGAATAAAAGGTCAAGTGGCATATTTGATAAGAACCATATGTGTAGTAAAGTTTGGTGAGTGAAGCATCACCGCTGAAGGATGGCACACGAGGAACTCTGTTTTATTCCCCCACTCTATTCCTTTGGCAACTCAGAACATTGGTGGGGTACTGATTGCAATTTATTTGACAGAAAATATCATTGGCTTTCGTCATAGCCGCTCTACTGTTCATACAATATTCATGGCTTTCATATGCAAACTTGTTAATGTAAAAATGCAGTGCACACATGGAATGTTTTTCTCTTTAATTGGCATGAAATTTCATGGGAAGTTTTTAGAGGCTAACAATTTATACTTTGGCAAGGAGCCCCCAAGTAGGGGGAAAAAAGCTCAGCAGTGGGGTTTCCTTGGAAACTGGTGCAGCTTTTTGGGGGTTTCTTTTGCCAATGAAAAGTAACGGTGGCATGCTTTCATTGGATGCCAGTCCTGTCCTGCTTTGAAAAATGCTGTTGGTTTTGAAAACTTAGTTAAAGCTACACCTTATAGCTACATCACAGTAGACTTTGAGGCCGCCACAGAAACAGTAGCATTCCTGATGCCGATGATGACTAAGATTTATACTGATATAAAAAAGTCAATTGATTTGTATATTCAATGCTGATTAGCCCATGCACATAAATAGAGTTAACAGTTCATTTAAATTGTTTGATCAAATAAATGCATGCTTGGTAAGCATGAGACTTCTTTCAAAACATTAAGGAATCTTACTGACCCCAAACTTTTGATGGATAGTAGTGTATATAAAATTGCAGTTAAAATTTTAAATGTAGAACAAAATTAAGTTCAATATGGCCAAAAAATTCTCATAACTATTGAGTCTGATGCTGAATCGTCGTTATTTCCTGAGATACCTGAATGATAATTTGTTATCCCTGTCATAAATGAAACGACAAGAACAGCTTAGCTACACAAAAACAAAACAAAAAGTTCAACATAGTTGGGGAAAAAATATTTTCTTATGGGCTTTGTTGTGGACTTGAGGTAAATAAGCCAAATAGATTTGTATGTTAACCTATGTATTTGTTTGTTTTTTTCTGCAGGTTTTGTGTGGGCGATAAGTTTTTCCTAAAAAACAACATGATTCTGTGTCAGATGGACTATGAGGAGGGGCAGCTCAACGGGAGCTTTGAGACACAAGTTCAATAGCCAATCAAACGATGGCAGCGGCAGCTCTCGGTCCACACACACACACACACAAACACATGCTTCTGTGCGATGGATGTTCTGCTGCACTCAGAGAGAAGAGCATCTGTCTGCTTGCCTGCAATACTTTTTACAGTAAAAGCCCTATTGGTCCCTGAGGACTCTATTGTAAATGTACTACTTTTTGGCCCTTCCTGTCCCCAACACTGAGCAGTTACACGTTTTGATGTACAGTTGTGCCTGCTTAGTTGAGCACTGTAATGCCTGTATGGTTTTTGTGATGTTTTTCTGTTTTGGTCTCTAACTATTTCTCTCTCCCTCTCTCTCTCTCTATCCCTCTCTCTCTCTATCTCTTGTTCTTCTAATGCTTCTCTGAGGGTATGTACAGTCGGTTTTCTGTATATATAAACTGGAACATTTATTTTATGAAACTGTAATGCAATTTTATTACCAGTGTGAATTAAAAAGATTCTTAAATGTTCATAGTTGCGTTTGTTTTCTGATCCTAAAGCCCAAGTTTGAAGAGGCTGGCCCATGTATCAACACATGTAATTATTGAAGACTCTTAAAATGGCTGAAACTTCAAAAACATTTATCAGACAACTACAAAGAAATTATAAAGGACAATTTTATATAGAGAATGGCATAATAAAACAGCATATTTTAATTGCTGATGAACTAAGACAAGTTGTTTTCAGATGAATTAAGTACGGTCTTATTTCGAATAAAGGAAATTAATTTAAAAAAAACTCCAAGTTGTTGTTGTTGTCGTAATAAAATAACATTGAGTGTCTGATTCTGAGTTTAACAATTTTTCTGTTTTTCAAACACTCACTTATCAAACGACTACTTAACCTTACTATTGATGAGTCAAGTCTTGATCAAATACCTTTTGGAGTTCGTGTCTGACATGGAACAACTCTATCAAAACATCACAAGGCCTCATAATGTTGTCTGGAGAAAAATAACAGCATGGTATTTGTACGCAAAACATACAGCTAAATATTTCATGCCACCTTGGGTTTTTCAGTCTTTTTAAAGCATTGTGAGAGTTAAACTGCTCTCTCAAAAGCGCTGCATTTCCGAATGGCTTTCATGAACAAAAGAAGTGCAATTAAAGGATTGCGACTGAGGTGACACAATCTTCTGTCCCATTACTTTTGATTTTCATCTGTTGGTGGTAATTCTTGTTTCTATGAGCTCTGAACCACAGGAGAGCTGCTTCACAGAGGATCTGCCATTTAAAGCAATTAGTTTCATTCATTGTGGGTAAGAAATGGGAAGGGTATCAGTTGGGGTCTTACAGCATATTGAAATTTCATTTACAGATGTCCAATACTTAAAGCAGACTCTCCGGTATAATTTTGCTAAATGGAGCGTTTCATGCTATTCATGAGGAAAACTTCTCCCTGTTTCCCAGAGTGCTTTGAAAACTTCAGACTAAAAAGAGCACAAAGTAATTGAAAAAGTACAAACATGAACTTATAACTAAAATGTTTTTGTTATAAAGGCTGTCCAATGTAGGGGATTTTTTTTTAAATATAAAAACTGTCCAATTTTAAGGCAAAAATACAATACCTAACAATAAATAAATAAATAAAATACTTAAATATTGTATTTTATTATAGACTTCATTACACTATTTCTTATATTCTTAATTGCTGCTTCACACAAACGTACACACGCTCAAACTGCTAGTTTAGAAACAGTTCTTGGTAAAAAAAAAAAAAAAAAAAACTAACCGAACCGTTCTCCATCTGTGGTTCGGCAAGCAGTTCCGTATCAGTGTATTGGATCCGTGAATTGTCTTAAAGTGACAGAAGCCTAACTGCTGTTTGTTAATTAATGTTAAATCAAACAACAAAATACAAGGAAATCACTCCCTGCTCTTGACCAAATAGCTTTTGTAACTTTAACACTGATTAATATTTATATAATTTATACAGTGCCGATTATACGCAATGTTATTTTACATTTTGTTTACTTTATTACATTTCTGTACCTGCTACTATTACTGCTAAATACCTGAATAACCTGAAAAACAGTTTATTTTATTTCTTATTTTTGCTCAAAAAATACAAAAAAAATTGTATTTATTTGTGCCGTTTCTTGCCATTTATTTATTATTATATTCCTTATTTTTATTTGACAGTAGTCATTTTTTCCCTGAACAAAACACGTGCCAAACCGTACTTAAACAGTGCTCCTAACCGTGATGAAAAAAACAAACCGTGAGCAATTTGAACCGTTGTGCCCAGATGACACACCTTTTTTAATAATATGTTTATCGTGTGGCCAAACTAAGCCCGTAAGAAAATATTTTTCAATATAATTTGCTAGAAAAAAGCACAAAATTATACAAACACACAGACACCAAACTAAACAAAAAGAGACTCATTTCTGTAATCAGTGCAACAGTGATAAAACTGCACAAAAACTGAGGACATGTGAACATAGCAGGCCATCAAATCAAGGAATAAAGGCGGCCAAACAATTGCAAAATCACCATTAACTATTAATGTTTCCACCTGCATCGGCGAGATGTTTATAACCACACATGGACAGCATATGGGTTTTGACCTAAAGCCAGACGTACATATGCATATTTTCACCCAAAAATGTGGAGAAAGTATACCTATACTGTGGATGATGGCAGGCTTACATAGAAACACTGCTCAAGTAGTGAAAGCAGACCAGCCACATCATTTGCTAACAAATAAATCAAGTGTACAATGTGCATTAATTAGAAATTCATTAAAAATTCAGACTCACCGGCAGGTGTGCAAATAAAGGATTAGCGAGACAGCAATTACGCCACATAAGAGTACCTTTTAATTGCAGCTCCTGGATTGATTTACAGAGGGAGACAATCAGGCTCTGTGCAAGATGCCTGATTGCTCATTTTCTAGAAAAATAATGAGGGAAAAGACCACATACACAACCACACACACACGCGTATCATCCCCAGCTGCAGCATTACCTCACACAAACGACTCCACGTGTACTTACTGGTGATTTAAAGGTGAGGTGTGTGTAATTAAAACTACAGGTGCCTTGTCTGTGCTTCACTGCATTTCCCAGAGCAGGAAAAAAATAAGCAATACGTTGCATTTTGAATGGTGGTCCAAACCAGCATTAACTAGTATAACCCAGCTTGGTCTAGTGCTGAGTTCACATTGCACGATCACTGTTCTTTTCACACTGCACGGTTATCTTATTAGAGGGTTACACTTTGAATGACTTTACAATAGGAAAAAATCGCAAACAACTGTCTGTCTGTTTGGTCCGCAGACTGTTTCACAACCAAGCACATGCAAGATAAGTGATAAGGAAATAACTTAAGAGGCGCAGTTCTCACACGAGACTGGAATTGTTATTAAAAATGATACCCCGCAAGAAGCTTGTTATCCAAAATGTCTGTGCACTGATTTGCAGCAAAAAGGAGGAAAAAAAAAAAAAAGATTATGGAGGAGGAAATGGTTGGGGAGACACTGGGAGCAAGGATTGTGTGTTCTGCAAAGAGAGTTGGAGGTAAATAAATAATTTTGCAAAGTGCTGCTGTTGTGGCTGGTCAAGCATACAGTATGTTTGTGCTTTGTTTCTGTTTGATATAATTGTAAAGCTTATGTGTAATTATGATATTCTAGTCTATAACTTTCAGTCAGAAAATATTTCACAAAGCAGTATTATGAATCGCAGACAGGTCCAGATATTTGGCACACCAATTATCTCAAGGGGGTCGGCAACGCGTCTGCGATACTCTCAGATCGTGTCTTTGTTAATGCACACTACGTGATTGTCACTCTCGTGAACGAGCACAGATTTGTTTCAGATTTTTGGCATTTGTCGGTTATTTCGCAAAACCTGACGGCGAGTGAAAATCAGGGGTAAAAATCGTGCAGTGTGAACTCGGCATATGCGGGTCTTTTAAGCAAATATAATTCTATGCAGTGTTTATTAAAATAAAATATAGATTTTCACCATAAATGATAGACAATAGGATACTAAACCAAATAACAGGTTTTAAATGTAGCATTATTTTACCATTATGAAAAACAATCCCGGATTCTGTTTTGAATTGTTGCAGAGGATATGATATTCATACTGTTGTCTCTTCATCAACATATAATATCTATAAAATAAACATCCCCCCCAAACTACACATTAGTTCCTGATATGCTCAGTTAAGTCAAGTTTTAAGCAAAGTGATCAAAAAAGAGGAAGTCGTTCTACATCAAAGACACAAGTTATTAAAAGTGGTCAGACTGAGACTACATCCTTTTTTGTATATTATTTTAGCTTGATAACATATGCTGTATAGCAAGCTGACCTGCTTGTGCACCCCTGGGTGAAATTATTCCCGTTACACACTTCCAAATGGGACAGACTGCAAGAGATCCGAAATAAATGCAGAAAAACATACACTTGCCCCCGCAGCATTTTGCTTATTCTATGATCTCATTCTTAAATTAAACCAATTTGCCTAGAAATTGGTTTTAGGGTCTACACAGAGTGTTTTGTACTCTAGCCCCTGCACACACACACATACACACAGAAGAAATTTCAGTCACATTCCCTCCTCTCTCTCCCCCCTCTCCCTCGCTGCAAATCATGTTGGACTTTGAAGTGCTAATTTTGGAAGTTTAGCCAATTTTTATTTGCTGCTTTGAAATGTATCCTCTAAGCTGCTGCAGCAGCAATGCAATATACAGCCTCTCTACAATGAGGGATAAGTGACCAAAATGAGAAGCGCCTGTTTCTCGCCCAGTACATTATATAACTGTGAATAATCTGCACGGTGCACTTTTCCTGCGCCGTATGCCGGCTCAATTTATTTCTTCTAACATTAGCCACCCTACCCCTTTCAGACATCCTCAGTCTGTCTCATATTTGAGCTAGATGGGCACTATTTTGAATGCTGATGACACATTTGTGCAAAATGCATGGCAAAAAAAAAAATGAACACGTATCTAAAGTCAAGTAATAGACGTCGCATATACAGTCGCTTTGATGAGGCTGTACAGAGACAATACATTTTCAATCCTGTAGGACAAAGATCTGCTCGACCAGACGTCTAGAATCCAAATCCAATAATGAAAAGCTCATGAATAGCAGGGCCATATCAGTGGGCCCACTACACAAACAATACAATGAAATTATCATTTTTCTATTCCAGTAAATGAGCTCAACAGAATAATATGATACAGCTGTAACTGGGAGACAATTTGTCTCAAAGCACAGGCTAGGACCTTTTGTTCAGAAGGGGCAAGGGACAGGTGAGGCCTATTTATTGGAGCACGCCGCCTATGTATTCCAATCAGGGAAACGTCGGGACTGTTGTGGTGGGAAAATATCATTATTGCAATCAGCCTTGGGTTAGGGAGCGACTCTGCTGTATGGAAAGCAGTCGAGAACAATGAGAGAAGGCCTCTGTAATGGAGGAGCCTTGAATTCCACTTCATTTGCTGCTCTAATGGATGC